TTTTATTTATGCCATATGTATCCATAGTGTTTTATTTACATCACCACCAGCATATATGGGAATGGGCCGGAATTGAGTCGATTAGAGCAACTGTTGCTCTAGACTAGGATTTCGGAGGATTAATACTATGGGGAAATCCTCAAAAGATCAAGGCATTGCATCGACCAGAAGGGAGCCAGCACTGCTAGGATCGACACCTGGCCAGAGAGTCTCTGTTATCACCTGGAAGGGCGCCGTTACTGGTAAGAGGGGCTCCGTTATCGGTAGGAAGGGTCTCACATTTAACTGGAGGGCCCCGTTACTAGACAGGATATGCTTTTACGACGAGGTAAAACGAAAAGTTAAGATTTGTTGTATTCATTTGCGAGCAACCCAGGTCCTTGTCCCATTTCTACCCAGCATGTCCTATTTCTCCACCCCACATGTCCCAGTTCTCCTGTGCCTGTCCCATTTCGCCACCATTGCAACTTTTTATTTATGATGAAATATTAGTTACTCTATGGATTATAAAAGTCTCAGAATAACAAGTCTTGTAGAGAATTACTTGCTCTTTCCAATGACACCATTCGCAGCTATATAATTTGCCTGTGTGGGTATGTACAGGTGCTCAAAGTTGGTATTGAATTTTTGTCCCACTTCTCCCCACTCTCCCCTACTTGCTATTGCAGTACCACAAACCCAATTAATTTTACACAAATCCACCATATCTCAAAAATGTGTGAATGACTTGAAATATTTAGTTCTAAATTTACAATTAACTCGTTACATTCCTCTTGCACAATTATTCACAGAATTTAATCAAATCGTTACCACCTCACACCGCCTGAACGCAAAACTTTGCCACAACCACAACAGCCTTATTCTATCCATGCCACATGCAAAGGCAATACACTAAAGTATCATCCAGAGAGGAAACGCAACAATGAAACCTGGTACATTTTATCGTAATATACATCTTAAACACCTTTCCTTACCTTTTTCTTTCCCGTGACGAGACTCCCCGGCCGACGGCGCAAGCGACGGCGAAAGCGCTAATGGCGGTTGTCCAGCAAAACAAAATGGCTGTTGCTAACTGCTGCGCCAGATTCGGATACTAGTTCAAGGCTTGGTAAAAATGCGAGCCCCATGGTCACCCCTGGTGGCCAATCTGGTAACCATTACTACCTACCCTTACCACGTCGAAAACTATGGGGGAAACTACGACACGGACGTAGTGGTGATAACTACCCCAAAAACCAGCCTCAAAGGCTAGTAAATGGGCTAGTCACATGTATTTACTAGGGGGGGGGGGGCTGGTAAAACCCTAGTGACTTTTTCTCTCAGTGCAGTGCGTATGAAAGAAAGCAAGGCAAAGAAATTTAACTGGTGTAGTGCCTGGCTATCTTCAGAGATCTTGAACCCAGCTACTTTTCATTTAATGAAGCAATGAGACGATATGATTTTCTTTTGTGAAGGACTGCACAGCAAAAGTTGTTACGTGCACCGCACCTCATTTCGCGGTTAGCTTTTGCCATTACCCATTTTAAGTTCTTCTACATATTAACTTCATACATATGGGTTCGGGCTTATGAGTATCGATTTCTGACACTAAATTGTATCACTAATGAGGTCTTTCCTGAACTTGTTCTTTGATGAAGCAGCTGCACCCTCCAATCTCAGGGTCTGCATTTAAAGCTAGTGGCAAGCCCAGTCGGAAAATCGACGTTATTCCATTTGTAATTCAGAAGCAGGTTCGTTTAATATCTCGAAGGCGCCCTCAGACGTACCAGTCACGTTCCTTAGAAATGACGGGAAGCCTCCCGGTGTCATACAATATAAAATCCCTCCTTACTCGGCGGAGAGGGCCGGGCGAAAAAGTCCGTGTTTCATCAGACGTTCGAATGGTCTGTTCGGTATTGAGCCAGCCTTGAACAACTCTTGATTGAGGGTGGAAAGGCGTTTGATGAGCTTTTAAAGGACATGGGATGATGCAGATGAAAGGTTCATTTTAACCCAGCCGAGGAACACTCACCTGATAGCGGCCTGGCGGGGTCAACTGGGGGCCGCTGGTGTTTGATCAGTGTCAGGCTACTGGAAGACCACGTACTCAAATACAGGCCACTCAGGTTACCTACAGCGACTTAATCCTGGCGTGTTTCAAGTTTCAACTTTAGAAATAAAATATATCGTCTCGAGAATTCTTACAATTACTCTTCATTCAAAGATCAGCGTCACCTTTTCAGGGATATGTCATTTTTCAAACTGAATGCAAGTTTCCATTTGCAATTGCGGCAAAATAACAAAATGTCTGACTATGAACACGCTTTGGTTCTAATGAGGCTTCACTTCTTGGGCTGTTCCGTTTTCAGTGGACCAGTTCTAATAACGTGACGTCATCAACTGTGGAGCTGGTGACGTCAGCAGGTGACGCCGGTCACGTGGTCAGGTGCCGAGCGTACAGCCCGGCTGACCCGTCCTCAGCACTCGAGGACCAACTGGCGCTCAGGGTAAACCGTGAGTATGCAATGCTCCATCCTTTTAGTCTTCATGTCCTCCAATGTATCCTATTCATCGAACACTTGGCTCCCGTTATCACATTCTACTGTGCCTTCTCCCTCCCATCGTCGCTGGTTTTATGTCATGCTAAATTGATATGTCTTTCCTCGATCTCTCTTTCGGTGTTTCTTTCGTACTCTGTATTTCATCATACAGCGAGAAGTTGTATAATGATAAAAAGCCCGCAGAATAGCAACACACGATCTATGTTATATGGATTCGCATGTGTGCGGTTTATCTTTCGAAGCCCGTTTGCTATAATTACACAAAACTTGAACCAATCAAATGTCTTCCAAACGCTGTTGACCGATTTCAAATAGCCCTGAGCCACTTTCAAAGGAAAGTCGCTTCGAATATTGCGGAACACCGCATGATATCACAAATCGACGTCACTTTAACAGCTACACTGTTAGCTTGAGGCCAATTGAGACCCAATATTTGGGATTAGGAACGTAAAGAACCCCTAATTAGTTATTTTCATAATTATCTGAGGTGGTACCGTGTACCCCAGTGGCTGAGTTGACGTGGAATGACCCATATATACTCGTATTATTGTTTTCATAATCCTCTCCTAGTTTACGCTGACCTAAGACTCCTCCGTGCTTCTTAATAGCACAATTTAGCGCCGTTATCTCTACGTGCTCACATTTGATACTAGGCTAACATCAATCCTCTGAATGGAGAGCTTTGTCAACTGCCACTGAGCTAGGCGAAATGACTGCGGAAATCTGCCGCCCTCGTTTCCATCGGATCCGGACACAAAGAGAGTGAGCGATCAGCGTCCGTTGCCACTGACACACTCTCACTTTCAGTCAGCCGGCGTAACAAGGCTGATTACTCAACTTCTGCGAGCCTCTCGCCCGCAGCCGGCTCAGCCGGAACAACTCTGCCCCCACTCCCCCGCGCGAACCCATTACAGACGCGCTAACTAGTCCCGGGTCTTGGGGTCACATGAGAGTATGCAGATTGGTGCTATGGTAATTTGGATTCGGTTTCACACTGCAAGGGATGCAAGGTTTTATGCCTGGTCCGCTTTCTCACATTTTATCAACGAGAAAATGATTGGGAGGCTGGATTGTGGTCCTTTTGCTGTTTACTTTCAAAGATATTACGATAACCCCAAACGGCTACGCGAAGTTACTGCGTTGAAACTTGGTCTACTGGTGGCCGTTGATAATTCACTAGGTAATTTATTTACATATGTACATGTGTCTCGATAGGGCTGCACGCGCTGGCGTTGCTTATTCGTCTCGAGAATGACTGGGCCGACGAAGATCAAAACTTCGCACTTGCATGCGCTCACCTCACAGTATTAAGTGAGTTCGTTTATCCCCCTAAAGGCGGATTTTCCTGGTGTCTGCTTTCCCATGCTGCAAATTTCGTTATTTGATCAACATCTTCTGGAAAGTCCGCTGTCGATAGGAATGCTCATGCCAAAAAAAGACTATGAGCAAGACTTCTTTCCACCATTTTTATAATTTTGTATTTCAAAGCAATCTGAGTTAAAACCCCACACCCAGCAATCACTTTCCACTTAGATATATGTTAGCAGCCTTGCGTCTTTACGCGTCCCACGCTCTCAAGCTCATTTCAGCGGCTAAAAAGTACATTTACTCTCGGGCGATGTTTTTTGCGCCGCCTGGCCCTCCGAAAGTGTCGTGGCCGTTAGGCGTGAAACTAGCATTATGGCGACCAAGATTGAAAACAACAGCCAAGAATCTGTCGTTCCTTGCTTCGTGCCTGGCCGCTCATGCTGCATACGCAGCAACGGTATCTCTAACCAGGCGTGTCGCTGAGATATTTGCCTTATTGGTCCAGCGGTAAACAGAGTGAAGAATAGGATCGCAACAAATGACGAAATTAGATTGAATTATATCCGATTTAAAGGATCTTTTGCGACAGGAGTGCTTATCAAAGATGTTAGCTATTTTTCATTTTAAAACACTTTAAAACACTCCTGTAAGCCCTGTTCAAAGCTCTCTGTGCCATATTCAGCTCTGTGCTATCAAACACTATCCCCACTGTGTGTTTGATCTGCTCTGTCTATAGCCGCGGGGTATCGGTCCCGTTACAGACGCGCCGCTGGTTCGTGTTTCGGTGGCCAGCAGTCTGCGGCTGGCCGACATCCAAGAGGGCGATGACGTCTATTTCGAGTGTGACGTCACCGCTTCGCCTCCGGCCCACTCGGTCCAGTGGAGGCTGAATGTGAGTTTCCGCCGCCGCCGGCGCCCCGCACCGCCGGGGGGAGGGGGGGGGGGTGGAACACTGTGCTGCAAACACCAAGATTGAATCACTGGCTCTGCAACATCGGGGATCGAACGGGAGACTTGTTTTCGATGCACCGTAGTGTTGAAGAATAATTTATTCACTTAACCTGCATTGATCGGTGTACGCATTATCATAATAGGGGATAAGATTCTGCCTGCTTTGGTAGCATCCAACAACTGCAGATCTGGTCACTTTCTATGGATATGGTTTGTTTCTCAATCAGTTAAATGTAAAACAAATTCTTTGTGAATTGGATTGCTTGTCTCGACATACAGCCAACAATGGAATTCCAGGAAGTTATATGCTTTTCATCTTCGATAGACAGCAGCACTGGTTTTAATAATGATCGAATCGAACGTATCTGTGCCGCTCTGTGCCGGAGCTTGTTATTTGTTTCTACATATCCGATTCCCCGGTTTCAATTTAATTTGGCTGAAGGGCTCTGTTTTTCGGGATTGAGTATCCTGTCTGGTCGAAGTTCAGGCCTCGTGGCTTTGAGTATATCATTTCTCAGTTGAAATTACATCGTGTTTGCTATACCAGTGAGCCACTGAAACGCCTGCTGGGAGATAGACCCTGCAGATGTGTTCCCTCTCGATCAATGGTCAATGCGGTGGCGCCGGTGACACTGGTTCCCCGTTGTGCGTGGTCACAGTGCCGTCCTCTGGTTCCCGCCTCACTGCTCGCTGGTGACACTGGCTCCCGTGCGCTGGTCACAGGGCCGTCCTCTGGTGCCCGACTCGCTGCCCGCTGGTGTGATGGTGGTGAATCGAAGTCTGGTGCTACAGAAAGTGACCAGTGACGGCAGTGGCAGCTACTCCTGCGCCGCCTCCAACGCAGAGGGAGACGGCGTCAGCGACTCCGTCAGCCTGCTCGTCCGCTGTAAGTCACTCTGTAAACTGCACGTGCATTGTAAGTCAGCCTGCACGTGCACTGTAAGTCAGTCTGTACGTCCACTGAAAGTCAGTTTGCACGTCCGCTGTAAGTCACTCTGTGAACTGCACGTGCATTTTAAGTCAGCCTGTTCGTCCGCTGTAAGTCAGTCAGCGCGTCCACTGTAAGTCAGTTTGCACGTCCGCTGCAAGTCAGTCTGAATGATTGCTGTAAGTCAGTCTGCACTTCCGTTATATATATGTTGTCCGACTCTGCGACACCAATGATTGCAAAAAATCCCTTCCCGAATAAGCCAGCCAGCACGTTCGTTGTAAGTCAGCCTGCACGTTCGTTGTAAATCAGCCTGCACTTGCGTTGTAAGTTAGTTTGCACTCCGCTGAAAGTCAGCATGCACGTGCGCCGTAAGTCTGCACGTGTACTGGTAACTCAGCCTGCAAGTCAGCCTTAACCGGAACGGGCGGCCAGTGACTTGACGGGGGCACAACGCAGTTGTCTCGGATTAAAGGCTTACGCAGAAATCCTTTCATATCGGCGGCGCCGGTAAGTATAAACAATATAAAAGTTGGAAAAGATGTCAATGAAATGTGAAAGGCGATTGATCAGGAATGCTGTGATGAATGGCGTGGACAATGGGTTGCATGATGGAAATGCGTTAAATAAGTCATTTAATTTTATTACTTGTCGTTTTGTGGAGCAGATATGTTAATATTCCATCATATTGGCAAATGGACACTGTCACCACATATCGAATTTTTAATTCAGAGCCCTACCGGAGCTGACCAATTGCAGCTGTATCAGACTGCCGGAATGTAAGGGAACCAGTGTTTGTAGCAGACTTCTGACAGCCAGCTGCTAGAGGCAATATCGCCAATTTACGAAATTACCACGGGCCTTTGACCGTTGAAATTACGGCCGTAAAAATGGTCGCTGTTCTTTGTGTGGCATCTTTGATTATGTCTATTGTTCATTATAAATCGAATAAACTGCCCGCTATCACGCAATAAACTGGACTATAACGGAAAGTCGGCTTCGGTGGAAGCGAGGCGGCGGGAAATATTGTCTCAAAGTGGGCACAGAGCAGCCATTTCTGTCCACTTCGATCACGGCGCTTATGTCTAGCTTTGCTGTTACAGACAGTACGCCATGCTAACCGTCGTGCCATAGAAAACGGTGACATGTCGACCTCAGTGTCATATCATACAGGGTTCTAAGCCTTCATTGCCATACCCGCTACCGTGTAACACCTTATCGTTGATTCAATTCAACCGTATAATAGGGCCACTGTTACTGTCAACTGTGTAATGTCATGCTGCGTTGTACCGTGACGTGCCATAATTCCCTACAATATCCTATCGTTTCTATCCGTACCGTGCCGTACCGTGCCGTACCGTGCCGTACCGTGCCAGTGTGTGCCTTTAGGTGTCTTGATCCGACGGCCCAGCGCGGCGGATCGATCGTTCGTGTCTGTCCAGCCGGTACAAATTGGACCATTTCTCCATAGCGGAGGTGTGGCGCGCGAGCGGCTCGCCTGAAACAGGGAGCAGGTGTGAGGCGGCCCCTGAACGGTGTCTCCGCTTACTCTCCGACCCACCGAGAATCCGTCACTTTGGCATGCGTAGATTCAGCTAATGCTGTTCTGTCATTCTGGTACACGTTCTTGAAATTTAATTTTTGCTTAGTCATTAGCAGTTGTGCTACAAAAATCACCATAATTTGTATTTTTGCGGATGACATTCGCTGCCTCATTATCGAGTCACCAGACTGAATACAAATTATTTCGATATTTCTGCCATGGCGAGCTCAGTGCAACAGAACCTAGTGGAATGACAAGATTGAAGGACTCTCTTCCTCATCCATGCCCGCCCTCGGGAGTTTGCCGCCGAACGGTATCATATCCTCTAGTGCAGCTGAATGCTTCATGGGCAATGTGATATTTACCCCAAGAGTACAATGTAATATTCAACAGAAAGCAGACATGTGCGCGCTGCGCATTTAGGCCGCAGTCCTATACAACGCACTTGTCCGTGACTACCCACTCAACCGAATAAAAATGCCTCTGCGAAAATTGTTCAGCCACCCGGCGGGCAAATGAATAGCTTTCACCAGTCGTGCTCGCACATATCGCGCGGCGGGGCAGAGGCTACCCAATATTCCTGTCACATTCACTTTGAGGCCAGCCTGCAATACTGTCATGAGTGACAGTTCTCGGAGGCGCGCAGCAGCTCTTATGAAGAAAGTTCCGCGCGTGAGAGGCGAGGAGTCGGCATATTTGATCCGACCTTGTTCATCTTTAACATCTGGAATTTGATTGAGCTGCTTCGCCAGTCTGGAGAAGATATCGAGGTACCTAGACCTATTGACCTCTGCTCTGAAGACATGCGTCATGTTCGGTCTCCTCAGTTGTCGGTAGACATCATTTCAGATTATGCGTTTGATCAAACCACTAAAAGTTACATTAGCAGAATGGATGTTCGTGTCTGATGCGCTGATGAAATCAACTTTCCAATGTTGTTATGGTTCTCGTTTTATGCTTCTAATGCAATAAGTTATAAGCGAATATAATTGGATACTTAAAATCAAGCCATTAGTTTCTAAAAAATTATGGTCCTCACACCTGGCCTGTGCTCATTGCTCAATTGCTTTGAACCGGCTGCTTGATGCCTAAGAGCTCTGGCTCTCGTTACCTGAACTGCGCTCGATGTAGGCCAGTTACAGCGTTTTTCTTCTCATTCCCGGATAGAGTTAGCGCCACCACCAGATGAAATTCATTTGTAGCTGTCTCAGTGCGAGCCTGCGCCATATTTTGCCGACGCTGCGCCAGATGTGAACTGCGCCGCAAATGCCGTCGTAGGCAGCACGGTCGAGAGACATATCACAAGCCGCTGTCTGAACTCTGATTTCATCAAAACAGGACTGCTGATCTTGGCGAGCTCGAATAGCATTGCGGCACTGTTTGTCACTGTATTGTGCGCAGGCGTCGCGTAGTTTGGATCATCCATAAGGTGCTGTGTAAACATCATTTATTATAATTGTGTGGGAAGGGTTTTCAGATAAGAAGTAATCATCATACGTGAATATCGAATGATGCGACATTAGAGATGGCAGTGAAATGGCAGACCAGTGCTGATCAAAACCTAGCGTGACATAAACTTAACACAACTCCAATCTACAGGGTGTTTCACTAAAAGTGTCAAAAAGTTAAAGGTCATAATGCACATAACAACAATGTTTTCTAAGGAAATTTGCATATCATTTCATCCGCAATTGTTGGACATTTGAATATATAACAACCATATCACCGTCACTCAAACCTATTCCACATATCCGCCCCTTCTTTTGATGCACCGTTTCGGCACGTTTCCGGAGGTGCCTCACAGTCCGTTTTCATATTCAGCGTCCAGACTGTCGGCAAAGCCTTGAATTGTGCTCTTCAGCTCCCGAAGTGATGCGACTTGAGTCTTCCTCAGCTCTGCGAGAGCTACTGAGTCACTGACCAAAACCAGAAGTCTAGCGGTGGCAGATCGGGGCTTCGCGCTGGCCATGGGGGCGGGCGGTGAGGCAGCTGATTATTTGGCCCAGGAACTTCTGGTCCAGCCAGTTCCTGGTGGCTACAGCCGTCACAGTGGTTGTTTTTGATAACTTGTAAGGCCTTGGCTATTTCTGATGTTGAAATTAGCTTCTTGTTATCTTCAAAGGCCCTCAAAAAGACCCTGACCTTTTCAAAGGTTTCCGCCGAGAGGTGGGGGCGACCCCGCCTTTTTTGGACTGGAACTGGCATCGAAGGAGCCCTTTTAAACCTCTTAAGAAGCCCTTTTAAACTTTTATAATCTGGAAAGTAGCGAGGTGAGAGAGTAAAACGTTTCCTGAAAAGTCGGCATACGGTTTCAATGTTTCTGATGGCACCAAATGTAAGTGTAATTCACCCCTCCTGTTGAGGTGTAAATAACCTGTTCTTGATCTGTATAAGGAAAAAACGACTAGTAACTTTGGTCTCCTGCGCTCGCTCCGTATGGGTGTAAAAAAAATATTAAATGGACAAAGCATAAATGTCCAAAATTTTGCAACAAAGCCACGTGCACAACCACGTGATTTGCACATTTTATATATCTTTAATAAGCATTTACTTTTTGACACTTTTAGTGAAACACCCTGTAGGCCTTCCAATAGACGAGAGCAAATCGCACTCCTGCCTCCGGAAAGTCAATATTGGCTGAAGCTGCAAAACCCTCAGTGGATAAGGATGAAAAACTTTGGCTGAGCGGAAGCTCGAGCGTAATTTACATCCGCGAATTCTGAGCAGCTTTATCCGAGCCGCACAAGAGATCAGTCGAGACTGTGGGCAGAAGAGTGGCGCTTTTCGCTTTATTCTGCAGGCTCATGAGGTAGTCCCAGCCATCACCAAGTGAGCTGGCACAAAGGGCAGGAGCGGCGGAAATGGAAGCCCGCTTTAGAGCGGTATAAAAGTGGATTTATGAGGGGGCGGCATGGAAGATGACAATGAAAGGACAAGTAAGGGCTGGCGCGCATAGTAAATGGACTGATACCTAGCTTTGATGGCGGCATTGCGGAGACAAATTTAGCACCAGTATTCAGATCCTCTCGAAATTCTGGCTAACCGCATTAAATTTATGCTGAATTGTGTGTCTTCTCTGAAGTAGCTCGAATCATTTTTATGCTTGCCTTGCCTTATGTCTTGTCAATGACTTCGAAAAGCTGGATGAAGACAGATGGCAGATGACAGTTCAAGAAAATACTGTTGATTGTGTCGTGTATGTGCCATTCGTTATGTCCAGGCTCTGTTACCAACCGATATCTGTGCACTGTGCAGCCTTATGTCAAAACTGACAAGGTATATGAGCGGTGCCATCATTTAAATGAAGATACGGTGGGTGGATGTTTTGCATTAGGGTTATTTTCTTCCTCCCCAATCCCCATATTACGTCATTCAATGTCAATGGGCCAAGGAGGTGCTTGGGTACATCGATCGCTGTTGGTGAAACAAGTTTCGATGACAAGATGATTCACATCCCACGATATAAATCACTGTTTGACGTGCATCTGTAAATCCGCTGCTCCTTGTCCAAATACTCTGTAAGCCCGCATAGGACCCGAGCCTATTTAGTTGAAAGCTGACGGAGGCGGCAGCGTGGGCGGATCACCGTTCAATCACCAAGCAGGCGGGCACGGTGCGATATCCAGCTCGGGTCTGTCGGTGCTGTTGCGAGGAGCCCGCATGGTGTCTGGTGCTCCGGACATCCGGGGGCGGCCAGACTCCGGGACCCGGGGGGAGGGAGGGGGTGGGACGTCGGAGCATGGGACCGTGTCACAGCAGAACGCTCACGGATCATAGTCTGCAGCCAGCACCGCCCACGGACCATGGCAAACGCCAGCTGCCCGATGCTCACGGATCTGGAGACGAGCCCATCACGGACACCCACGGAACCAGCAGCAATCCCCAGCCGCCCACGGACACGGTCAATCCCGTGAGTCATCACAGCATTGCACCAAACCCCAGACGTCCATAGGATCACAGCTAATCCAGTCACCGATAGGATCACAGCCCACCGCAGTTGTCCACAGAGACCCGGAGCAGCTCGCACACACTCACATGCTCCCAGCAATCCTCAGCCTCCTAGCCCGCCCCAGCGGCCTGTCTCTGACCGTTGGTAATCAGGCGCCGGTCTCCCCCTATACTCTGGTCCCACTGTGCGCCGGTCATCGGTCATCCCGCGAGTGTTGACCGGTCGCTAGCAGCCCCGCCCAGTCTGGCGACCGGCCCGGGAATGGGAGCCCGTGGAGCGTTCTCCAGCAGAGGAGCTGGACCAGAGTGAGGAATGCGAGGACAGAAACGTGCTGTTTGTTATTCCGGGGCTTTGAACGCGTCAACTGCAATGGTCATTTACCAGCTTATTATCGTTGAGGTGAAAGAGGAAACAGTGCCCGACCCATGGATTTACACGTTTACTTTAATTATTATTAGATTAAATCATGAACAATTCCTGAACTTCCTGAGTAGCCTGAGCCTGAACTCTGTGAACTAGCATCACATATCATGGTTAGGAGTTTGGCCGGAGCCTAGAGTATGTGGGAAACTTTACCTGAGTACTTAATTGCCAGATCCACTCCAACACCAGTGGAACTGAAAATCCCCTCGACCTCCCGAGACGGAATTTTAGCACATTACCTACCAGCACTTGTATTTGATGTCATGTCTACAGATGCTTCCACTGCTATAGATATAAACCATCATATCTTCATCTATTTAATTCTCAATGTCGTATGCATGCTGGCGTGATAACAAACGTAACAGTATTTCAACAGTGTGGTGATACAACTGCGTTCGTAAGTATCATACACCGTCGAACTCGCTTTTGAACACGACTCAGCGATCCGCTGTCGCTGTCTGCCTATCTGTCTGTCCGTCTGTCCGTCTGTGTCTGTCTGTGTCTGTCTGCCTGTCTGTAGGTATGTCTGTCCGTGTGTCTGCCCCTCTGTACTTACGTCCGTCCGCCCGACCATCTATCTGTCTCTCTGACGTGCTGTTACAGACGCTCCTCGCTGCAGCATCGGTCAGCAGGCGGTGAAGGCACCGTGTGTGTGTCTCTGTGTTAAAATCTGTCTGTCCCTCTGTCTGTGTGTCTGACACTCGCTCGTACCCACCATTACAGACGTTCCTCGCTGCAGCGTCCGCCAGCAGACGGTATACAGCGCCGCCCTCCATCAGACGGTGAAGGTGCCGTGCAGGGTGGACGCTCTGCCGGATCAGCTGACCTTCCACTGGTCCTTCAACAACACCGGCGACATCGTCCACCTGCCCACGCACCAGTTCACGTCAGTATACCGTCAGTAGCGTCAGTAGGTATGCTGATAGTCAGTCAGTACCATCAATCAGTCACCGTCAGCAGCGTCAGTATATCGTCGTCAATATCGTCAAGTATCTTCAGTGCTTGTTGTAGATACTAGATAGGCTGTTTTCAATGGAAAACAAAACTCTAACGAAATTTTGCCGTCAGTATCGTCTAGGTTAGTGTCACTTGTAAGCATCATTACGCTGGAACATCGGCTCACGTCAGTACTATTGTACCGTCATACATCAGTTACCTTCTCTTCCTGTGGAGCAGCTGGAGGAGGCTACCGGTGTCTGTCATAACCCTGTAACTCGGCTGTCAAAACCGTCCGATGGCCTGTCCATTATGACAGGCTGAGTAACACCGCCGGTGAGCCCATTCAAAATGAGACGGGTGGCAGTGGCACAGATATTTGAAAATCGGAGTTTTTACAGGCAGTCGCAGCATTACCTTGAAGTTCGTTCGGAAAACGATCTCGAACATCTCTTGCACATACTGCTGACCACAGTGCATAAGATATCGGGCATTTTTATCTTGTGTGAAAAGAAGCAGAAAGACACAGTTGCTTCGATATTTGCACAATACCTTGTAAGCGAAATATGCCGCTCAGGACGACATTCATGCTCTGTTAGCATGCATTTTCATGTAATTCTATCTTTTCGCCGTTGGCCCGCTGTCTATTAGCTCAAAATCGGCTTTTGTTCGGAAACGCTGGCGACTTGATACTGACGTATCCTGTCTGAATAAGGCGGGGACCTGAACCGTGTCTGAGACTTGGGAACTACGTGTAACGACCTCCGGACCGGGTGAAGCAAGCTTCTGAGTAGTTCCTGCCTGAAACTGTGAACTGATGCCAGCTGACCAACTGGGACAGGGCTCTAATGAAAATGATTCGCAGAAGCGTTACATAACTAGGTTCAACGTTGAATGACAGTCCCTTGTCTTGTTCATGATAGAATTGGCCGTCTTTTCTGCTTTGATGGTGATGTCATATTGTTCCTGTTTAGCGATACGACCGTAATGTGCTATGATAGGTGATAAATGACTCGGCCGTGCATTGTCATGGTTTCAAAGTCGATGTTTTACCGGGCATTGGCGCCATCATAAATTGACGTTGATATCTTACGCTTTTGTGGGCGTCACACTATGCTAAAGGCGGCACTTTTTCTCTCGAACGATAACGTGATAAAGCAAGCATCACTTCGACCACGAAAATGTTTTGTTACATATGATCATTTCGTCCATTCTTGACTTGCCCCAGCACTCTGTTCCCCACCCTGCCTTGTACCAACCTTGCTCATGCGAGTCCTGACCCGTGTTTTGAAGTGAGCTGACTCGATCTGACCTGACCTGACCTGACCTGACCTCAGGGTGAACGGCTCAGGGAGTACGGCCATCTACACGGCCCATTCGGCGCTGGACTACGGCACTCTGCTGTGTTGGGCGCAGAACGACGTCGGTCTGCAGAGGGAGCCCTGTCTGTTCCACATCACACCGGCCGGTGAGTGACGTCACGCATAGATACAGTGAGTGACGTCACACCGAGGGACAGTTAGTGACGTCACTTAGAGAGGCGGTGTGTGATGTCTCACTCATACTGTGGGTACCGTCGTAAAAGATGTCTTGAACTGTGCTGAACTAACTATATTTGAGCTAAATTGAGCCGATTTTAGCCGCTACCCACCGACGCTGATCTGATCTGACCTGCTCCCCTCCCGGTCCCCTCTGCAGCGGTGCCGGAGTCGCCGTCCTCCTGCACGTCCCACAACGGCACGGACGGCTCCGTGGCCGTGCTGTGCCGTGCTCCGGCCGCGGACGTGCTACCCCGTCGGTACGTGCTGGAGGTGCGCGGCCCGGCCGGTGAGCTGCTGCTCAACCTCAGCGCCGGCACGCCGCGCTTCCTGGTGCCGGCACACCTCAGCAGCAGCTACCATCAGGTCGGTGAACTGACCCGGGGAAGGGTGGGTGCAGGTTACCTGCGATGGGTTTGGTGCGTAAATTGAATTAAAATCTTTTCAATGTGTTGAAAGTAAAATGTGATTATTTGGCTGGCAGCGTGGTTAAAAGGTCAATGTAACATCAAAACAGTATGATCATTTGCTCTTATTCATCATCGGAATATTCCCTAATTATGTGTGTTTGTTTTTTAGATTATTCTTTTCGCCGAGAACGCTAAGGGCCGCAGTAAGCCTCTGGTGATCGAGACGCACCCGGCCCGAGACGCCGTGGAGCGCCGCACAGAGCGTATCATCGACGGCTCGCTCAAGGCCAACGCGCCTGGAGGTGAGCCGCCGCAAACGCCGCACCGAATACCGCCGGGAGTGCCGCTGTATTTACTGTTAGCAGCAAACCAATCAGCAGCCGAGGCACTTGGGGCAGTTTCGATATCAGATAGTGGTTAAACGAGGCTCAGTAGATGGTGCTGTTGACGGGGAGGGGCATTGCAGCCGGTATCGAATTTCCGGGGGTTGAATGACGTATTGCTAAGCTAACTTGTTCGTTGATTTGCATCAACTAGGTTAATCAAACTCCAGATAATCTGTTTGATCCTCGCCGAAGTTGTGATTACATTTGATATTTGTTTGCCGCTCTACTCGTTATCAGCGAAACGTGTTCCTATGCTCAGAGAGTCATTGGTATGTTGGTTACCGTGCTGCGTTTGCTCTGTGGATGGCACTTCAGCTGATTGAACTATGTCGCTGTCTGTGGCGACGCGCTGGCCGCCGGACTTTACCCCTCATTGGATGCCCTGTCCTGTCATGCTCTAACTGATTCAAAGTTTGGCCACAGGTGACTTACTTTTGTCTCTTCTTCATCTTCTCTTTTGCCATCTCTTTCTATTCACTCATGTTTTATGCTCTTTATATTTACAGTCCATCTCTATTTTAGCCGTTATTCTCCCAGACCACCCCTGTTCCCTCCCCGCCCCGACCTTTTTCCTCAGGCCCACTGTTTTTATCCTAGCCCGCCGTTTCTCCCCTGACCGTCTGCCGCTGTCGCCGCAGCCGCCGCCGACTCGGAGCCGCCGACCGTGGTGCCGTCGCTGACCCTGCTACTGGTGGCGGCTGGCGCCGGCGCCCTGCTGGTCACCCTGCCCGTGCTGGCCGTGGTGCTGCTGCGCCGCCGCCGCCGCCGCCGCCCAGCGGGCCGACCAGCACCCCCGGCCCCCACCAGCCCGGGCCCAGCGCCGGCAACCAGCGCTGGCCGGCCGGGCCGCCCGCCACCGGCCGCCCACCAGCCGTATTACGGTGAGCAGAGAGAGGTGTGGCAGAGGCCACCGGGCGTGATAAATGATTCACAGAGAAGTACGGCGCAAATGACGCTCGTTGTGTCAGGATATTGCTACTGAGAAAGTCTCATCAGTATTCTGTAAATAGCAACGTCTCGTCACATTGCTGTATGCATTCGTCTGGCTGTCAGCGGAAACAGACGCGGTGATTCGTTTGTTTTATTTCTGTGGAACGTTGGAAAAGTTCATATCAGCTGTGAGGTCTCAGTGCCGCTGATTGGACGTTCAGTGGTAGACTGTGCCGCATGACTTCTGTGTAAGGCGGAACAGCAGCTGGCCGGTACTTCCCTAATTCTGACCTCTACCGTGTAATGTCTAACACAAGAACGGTATGTCTCTGACGTCTTACTTTTAGACAGAACAATTGTTCTGACACTTGGCGATGTGCGGCTCAAGTGCGATGTTATTGAAGCCGTTTCTCAGAATACCGTTTGGTTGATCCATGTTGTTTACAAAGCAAAAGTTGAATTAAAACAGCAGCATGTGGTAATTTAATTCCAGTTTACGGCAAGTGCTGCTAGGCTTCTACTAAGAAACATCTTTTCCATATATCTTCATGCATTGCTACAAACACGATAAAATGGTCATAACAATCCAAGTCACGAAAATTCGAGATGCCATCGGCAGATTCAGTGCCCACTAACCCACCGACCCTTATTCCCGTCGCCCCCAGAGCTGGCCGCCCTGGAGCTGCCTCCGGTGCCGTGTCACGTGATACGCCCTGACCGGTCACGGGAGGTCAGTTATATCCGGTCACCGTGGTCGGCGGTGGGGCCGGCGACGAGCGTGGACGGAGGGGGCAGCGCCACCCTGCCCCGAGTCCGACCCCGGCACAGGCACCAGTGCCAGGTAAGAGGAGTTGAGTGCAGGGTCCGTCACATACCCACCACAGGCACCAGTGTCAGGTGAGAGGAGTTGAGTGGGGTCCGTCATACCCACCACAGGCACCAGTGTCAGGTAAGAGGAGTCGAGTGAGGTCCGTCATACTCACCACAGGCAACAGTGTCAGGTGAGAACGAGGGTAAGATGTTGGCCGGGTCCCGTCAGTCTTGTCAGGTGAGAATAGGATGAAATAAGAGTATGGGTTGAAGACGGTACTGTATGATACAGCTCAGAGTTCAGACACCGTAGTGTTAGGTAAGAAGGGATAAGGGGTAGAATGGAGTCCATAGTCCCGCCACAGGTTCTCGTATGAGGCAAGGAGTGGGTGAGGGCTGGGCCGGCGACCGCCAGCCTTGGCCCAGGCAGCCGTGTTGGAATGATTTTTAACGTTTCGACCAGCTGCTTCTCCGCGGCAGCCGTCATGTTTTTTTTTTTGCCTGCTAAATGAACTTGAAGTTTAGTGTGCTAGCGTCGTGCCTTTCGTAAGCCAGCGAGAATTGAAATTAGGGTGACCTTGTAAATAGTCACAGTCTTAATCATTCTGCTATCCAGATAGCCAATTTTGCAGAGCTGGAAACATGGTTTCATTTGTTAACGAATGTTTTTGTTATTTCTATGGAAAGGATCCATATGTATCTGGAAGTCATGTGTTAATGCTTGCTGGATTGTTTGGGCAAATGAGGTCAGCATTATCCCAATAATTATAACTGGAATTCATTAATAAAGCTGACTTCAGTTGATCCGTTCGGCAAATAGGAATTAATATCCGGAGATCGTGGCATCACAATCTATACATAGGTCATAGACAATTAACATCGGCCGTTTCCGCTGCACAATTCCATGCAAATCACTAATAACCTCCAACGCCTACTTACCACCTTGGCCACAAATGAGGACATAATTCGCCGTCCAATGCTCCTACGGTCTGGCGGGCACTATGCCATGATATGCGCTAAAATTTACAAATCGCATTTGCAGCTAATCTCTTGAAATTCTGAATCATACGGAAAGGTCTTTTCGTTTGAATAGACGATAATCTGTTTTCTAAGCCCATCGGGCTGGTGACACATTTCGTTCTAATGTTTTGCATTTCCTGGCTGAATAGCATCGCAGAGTCCATCTCAAGCGTAGTTTTATCTTTCCGATGTTTTACTGCGGGAACTTTTTTGAGAGAAATGGCTGGTGCAGTGGGCTGTGACATGACATCTCCGGCGACCAGTGGGTCATCTTTGGGCGGGCAGCATTTGACAGCCTGGTTTGGGGGCTGAGGTCGGGAGTTGACAAACTTGGCTGAAAGAAGTTGGAAGACTTGAGCAACGCGGAGCCACCGAAAGAGTTTTGCTGCGACAGTGACGTTATTGGTCTTTTGTTGCTTTTATATTTGTATGATGCGGACATTGTGACGAGCAGGCGAGTCTATCCCTGGTTTAGATGGAAAATCTTTGAATGAATGGCCCAGCCCGGCATTGAGGCGCTTTTTCATAGCCTTATATCTCGACGCTCGCTTGACCGACGGTCAAGCGGTCTGCGATGAATTTATCTCAAAGTTGGATAAACAAGCAATTTGTGCACAATTCATAGCGTACTCAGACTCAGCGTTTTGTGACGTTTTATCCCTGGCGGCGAATGATATGCGCCGTCACTATCGTCTAGTCATATTCCTGTCCCTAGATGGCAGCAGCGGCTAACCTGAAAGATAGGCTGTGCCGCAACACACAGCGCCTGAGTGGCATACTGTGCCGCAAGACACAGCTGAAGGGTGAAATGCGCGGCTGCTTACACAAAAGCGCGGATCAGGCTGTGATTCTGTTGTTGACTTCTGGTTAGAACAAATCTTTTCAAACCCTTCTTTACAATACTTCAGGAGTAACTGATGCCCTGTCTCTTTGACTGATTTGTGGCTCCGTTTCAGGCGGCCGAGGTACCGGTCGGGTTCGGCGTCCTCACGCTCCCACGGGCGGCCACCTCCGCCGCCCTGGACGGCTCGGAACGGCCGTGTCGGGCGGCAGCCGCCCCCGCCCCCGCCGCAGCGGTCTGCCACTACACCCAGCTGCCGCCGCCGCCGCCGCCGCCCGCCGCCAGGCCGCTCGGCAGCCCGCCGTGGACGCGGCCGCCGGGCGGGGGCGGGGGCGGCGGCGGTCGGCACGGGTCGGTGGGATCTCGGCACGAGGCGCCACCAGAGAGCTCCGTATAACGGCCGGCGCGGACTGAGTGAGAGGAACTTGTGGGGACGCCATCCTCGAATGGGTGTAAGGTGTAAGCGTCACCGGCATACGGGATCCGTCTGGTCGATGCCGTTGGACGTAATGGTCCCCGGCGTGTGCCATATTGTTGTTTTGTTGTGTGTGAGATGATATGTCACATCAGAGCGTTGTATAACTGTTACCTGTGTGTTGGTGTCTGACTGTTATCGGAGCGTTTATGACGAGTGACTGGTTGATGTGAACCTCAGGTTTTCCGAGCCCGGAAAGCGATAGCTTTATTACGACGATGTGTTACTCCGTAGAGCTTGAGATTTTAACGTGACCGTAATCTGCGTTATGCCATGGTGCCATTGCCAAAGAGTCTGCTTTCAAGGAACGTCTTATCTTGTTGATGCGGCAATCTTTTCTAAGGCGTCGAGCTGCTGCAGTCAGTAGCGCCATCTGGCACCATCATACTACGCCTCTGGTGGAGATTTGGTGAACTCTGCTCAAACTAGCTCTGCGAACCAGGAACAATAGTGTACTGAGCCTGATGAACAGCTTTATTATTGTTGTTTTATTGTATTTTTGTCTTACTTGATAGCGTTATCATATAACGTGCTCATTTGCGCAAAACTTCAATCATCCCTCGGTTCATGCTGGGCATGTAACCAAGACATGCCAATGGGTTGTGACCAGTTTTGCTCAGAAAGGGGCCGAAAGAAAAAACCCTTCTCAATCTAGCATTTTGTCTCTTCAATTTCCAAGATTTGCATGATCGATCTCATGTTCTTCGTTTACAAATAGGGATTGCTTAGTTTGGTGAGTTGTATTAGTTCGGAATATATAATTATTAAGTCGTTAGCTGCGCATTCTGAAATGACATGTGATTCCACGTCATGTCTGTACGTTTTCTAAGACACGTCAGCTGTGGTACGTGAAGCCGTAATAAAATAAATCGGTACGCAAGGCGCGCTCCTCGTTCTCATTTGATTATGAGGTATGTAAAAGAAATAACGGGGCTATTTCGAAGGCTTGAAAATAGTTAACCTAACCAGAAACGACAAACGAGATTCGAAGGCTTGTGAGAAGGTTAAGTGAAAGAACATCAGTTCTTTTTTGTTCGCTTAGGACAAAAATGACATCAACAGAGGACGTCGAAGGTCATGAGATTTCTGATAAAGCCCCGACAATAGGTGACAAAACGAATCCCTGTCCACAATTTACGAAGCTAGGAGGGCAAGGAAAAAAACCTGTATGCCATATCAGCTTCTTTCCCGGTGTCAGATTTAACCTCAGGTCAACTGCTTGGTATTCAGTGGTTTTGAAGGGTCAAAATGAATACTTGATATTCTTTCAAAATGACGCATTTTATTGGACAATTTAAATTTCTCGCATTGCAATTTTTCCCTACAGCTGAGAAATGATTTTACCTGCGAGATTTTACAGAAGAGGATCACATTTCTCTTCACCGGGCCTCAACCAAACGTGTCATATTGCAATTGGTCGTTCCGCCGAAGTCGGTTGAGCACATTTATGTTCTTTTCAAGCCCGTGCACACCGCTCTTTTTATGATATCCGAAAAAATTGCGATCATTAGTCCATGCTGCTAGAACGAACTGGCTCTCATGCCTATTCCAAGACTCCTGCCATTTTTTTCTGGAACTAGTGCACGTACATTTGCCCCGTCCACATAGACACTAACAGGACAGCGTCGGTGCAGTATGACGCCTTCCGTCGTTGACTCTGCGGTGTCGTCGCCTGGGTATCGACTGAACTGGGCAAAGCGACCAGTCGCCGGTGACCTCAGGCCAGGAGCGGATGGCCGCGCCGCCGAAGCAGGTCGCAACGGACACACAGCCGAGGAATTGAGTGGAGCCTTAGCTGTCAACACCCACTCTGTGAGTTATGAATATCCAAGTCTCAGCCACTTTCACGTGTTATTCAGAAGACGTTTTAGCGACTGTTTCATTGCTAATAATGAATCATGGTGTTTTACCTTACGTGCTAACGTGAACTATCATGCATTTGTAGGAAACTGGTAAAGATCGGTCCTATTTAATAATGGGTTTGCGTAAACGTTAGTACGAACTACGAAGTAACTGGACGGCCCGCGTGCCATTCAAATTACTTCGCACTAATATATTATTTTGACCGAAATTGCGTGTTGACAAAATACGGCACATACTATTCAATAAACTGGCAAAATGTAACGAAAGTTCCACTCTTTCAGAGTCAAACAAAGATAAAAGCGTATCCTGGTTGTTCTTTTTATGGGGGAATTCCGGGCAACGCGGTTTTCTCGCCAATGACTGCTATGACACGCTAATTAGCTCAGCTTCGGAAAGATCAGGAACGTGCAGAACTGTACAATGCATATGCATTTGATGTCAATTATTGGCCAAAACATCCGACAGAAATGGAGAATAACTATATGAGGTCCATCTGACTGCAGC